GCAGCTCAGCTGCAGTCCCTGCACACAGCTGGGGGTGTGTGTCCTGGGTCAGGAGAAGTCAGTGTCCAGTCCTGTGGGGCTGTGCTCCTGGCTCATCCTCCAGCACTCACTGCTGCCCCTCTGTTACCAGCTGCACTGTTCAGCCAGCCCCAGGCCTCAGGGAGGTCACTGTCCCACCACCCCCACCCCAGACCTTCAAACTGGGACATGGTGCACCAATGCCAATCAGAGTGCACTAGTGTAAATTCTGTCTATACTAAGTTTTTCCACCAGTTCCTATCACACCAGTGTGGCAGAGACCTTCAGTACCTGAAAGAGCAGTATGATGGCACTAGAACTGCGATCTATTTCTAGCTCTGTCACGGACAGCCTGGATGACCTTGGACACATCAATGTTTCTCCTTCCAACTTTAGTCTCTTTACCCAGCTGCGCACTCACTGGGATCTCCTCTCTCTCCAGAGCTGCTCACCACTAAAATCTCTGTGGTGTCCCAGAGCTAAGGTAGTTCAGCTCTGCAATAGTCTTACAAGAGTGGCTGTGGAGTATCTTTCCCTGGAAGTTTTTAAGAACAGGTAGGACAAACCTCTGTCAGAGATAATCTACATATACTGTGCCCTGCCTCGGCAGAGAGAACTGGACTTGATGACAGCTTGAGGTTCTGTCCAGTCCTACATTTCTATGATGCTCTGCAATATATACGCATAAAACACAACACACAGAATAAAACCCACCACAACATAATGTCAGGCAATTCGGGGGGGGGGGGGGAGGAAATGAAAAAAACTCCACAGCATAAAATGACAGTACAGAGAAAAAGAAAGCAACACAATGCAAACTAACACACCCTAGGACAAAAGTACACAGTGCAAAAGAGCTCAACTCAAACCAACACAACACAGACACCACAAACACTGAGCCAAAACAATGCACCGTAAAACTATGCTACACAACATGGTGTGATCCCAGTTACAAATGGCACCATGCAAAACAGCTCAGCGTAGAACAGGACACAGCACAAAAGAGAATTATTTCAATGTAGGCCTGGAAGGGATCTTGAGAGGTCGTCTACTTAAGCCTCCTGTGATGAGGCAGGACCAAGTATCCCTAGACATCCCCATGTCTAGGGATACTTGGTCCTGCCTCATCACAGGAGGCAGACTGGTGTACCTCTAACCTGGTCTTAAAAACCTCCAATGAAGGAAATTCCACAACCTCCCTTGGAAGCCAATGCAACTCAAACACAGACCAAAACAATGCTGTACACACAGAAGCTGGGCTTGTGGTTAAGGGGAGAAGCAAGAATTCAAACAATCTGGGTTCAGTTCCCAGTTTTGTCCCAAATTCTCCATGCAAACTTGAGCAAATTATTTCAGCTCTTTCAGCTTCAGTTTCCCCATCTGTAAAATGGAGAGTCGCCTCCCATCATTTACCTATTTAGGCTTTGAGCTTTTTGTGGCAAGGACTCTCTGTCACAGTGGGCATGTCTACACTGCAGTCAGACACCAGCGGCTGGCCCGTGCCCGCTGACTTGGGCTCACACAGCTCAGGCTGCGGGACTGTTTAATTGTGGTGTCGATGATCTGGCTTTAGCTATAGCCCAAGGTCCAGCATCTCCCACCCCGCAGGGTCCTACAGCCTGACTTCAGCCCCAGCCCAGACATCAACACTGCAATTAAACAGCCCCTTTGCCTGAGCCCAGTGAGCCTGAGTCAGCTGGCATGGGCCAGCTGGGGGTTTTTAATGGCAGAGTAGAGATAGGTGTCACTTCAGCAAAAGTCACAATGGGGACCCTGATCTTGGTCAGTGTCCATGCAGAGCCCTGCACAACAGGGGCACCTGACCTCAGTCGGGGGTTCTGCAACTCCCGGCATTACACAATATCTGATTTTGTTTGGGGTCCCTGTAGCATCTGGCAAAATGTGGGAGCAGGATCTCAGTCAGGGTCCCTGCAGTGCCCAAGTACAGTGGTGGGGTGTGATCTTGGTCGGGGGTCAGTGCAGTGCCAGGCCCAATGGGGACACAGATCTCAGACAAGGTCTCTGAAGTGCCCAGCACAATGGAGGCAGCAATCTGGGCTGCAGTTGTGTGCTGCCTGGCACAAGGGGGGGCCGTGATCTCGGTCCAGCTCTCAGTTTTACCTGGCACAATGAGGGGCCAGATGTCAAATGGGGTCTCTACAGTGTCCAGCACAACATGGGTGCAGATCTCAGTTGGGGTCTCCACAGCACCTGTCACAACAGTGGGGTCTGACCTCTGTTGGGGTCTCTGCAGTGCCTGGCAGAACAGGACCCAGATCTCAGTGGGGGGTCTCTGCAGCTCCAGGAACAACAAGGTCCCTGATTTTGTTTGTTATCTCTGAAGTGCCTGGCACAATGGGAGCCTGATTTCACTTCGTGTTGATGCAGGGCCTGGCACAACAGGGGCCCGGAGCTCAGTCAGGGTCACTGTAGCACCCAGCACAACAAGGTCCCCGCTCTCTGTAGGGGTCTGTGGAGTTCCCGGCACAACGAGTGTCCCAAACTTGGTCAGGCTTTGTGCACTGCCCGGCACACGTGGGGACCTGATCTCAGGCAAGGCCTGAGTCACGCTCAGTACGAGAAGAGCCCTGATCTCAGTCAGACACCTGGGGAGAAAAGCAGGAAGATTTACAAGAATTAGATATCAGTAGTTCAGAACAGAGGAGAAAATGGGGCACAAACTAAATATTTGCCAATATAAGAGAGAAGCACCAACACCTGGGGAGATTTTATGTCACCATTCAACAGTTCAAGAGAAAGGTGGGGAAATTTGAGGGGATTATACAGCGATATTCAATCAACAACAGAATGGAAGGGATTCTTCTTGTCTCACATTCACATGGCGAGCAGGGAGCCCTGGGTGATGTTGCTTTCACAGGGGAAAGAAGTGGGGAGCCAGAAGGTCACTGGCTGTGGGGAGAGGCTGGCAGGGGGGTCTGGGAATGTGACTAGCAGGTGATGGCGGGCAGGAAGCTGCTGGGTTGGGTAAAGTGGGGGAGGGGAAGTAGCTGGGACTGGGATACCTGGGGCTGGGCCATCTCCATGGGGGACGCTTGCTCCTCCCTTTCCTTCCTGGGCCTTTCCATGCCCTGTTGCCAGCAGAGAGTGCCCCTCCTCTGCCCCAGTCCAGAGTTTGTGTCTCAGGGATCTCCCAACCTCTGGCATTAACCCACTTCCCATTTCAGAAATCACTCAGGGGAACGATTTCCCAACTAAACAAGGACAAATCACTGCAGGTAAAAATGGGGGGGGAAACACCCCAAACCTGAGATTTGAACTGGACATTGGTGAAGTGGAGAGAAAATGAGTAACAATCGACGGAGGAGAACAGAGACTTCTCAGGGATTTGAGGGAAGGGGGTGGGGGAATCACCATGGGTGTTGCTTGTTGCTCTCTAGAGAGAAAGGGGGCAGGACGGGAGAGGATGGGGAATCCCCACGGGAAGGGGCAGTGGTAAATCCGAGGGGATTTCACCCCCCCCTTTCTCTCCCCGCTCCTCGGGGTCACCTGCTCTTCTCCTTCCTCTGCCATGTCCAGGCTGCACAGACATTTTCCATCTGCCCCTTTTCCCAGGTCTTCCCCCTCCCCCTCAGCCCAGTCTCACTTCTCCCCCCGCCCGGCAGCCCCGGCACAGCCACACACAGGGACCCCAGTGGGGGCTGGTCCCCTCCCCCTGGGAGCCCTCGTGGTGCCCCAGGGCAGAGCCGGGGTGGGACAGGCGGGCTGTTGGGCTCCTGCTGGGACAGCAGCTACGAGTCCCCCGCGGGCGCTGCCCCCAGGGAGCAGATCCCGACGCTGCGAGATACCCGGTCCCCCCCAACACTCGCTCCGGTACCTGGAGGCTGCAGTTCCGCAACGGGGGCGGGTAGAGCCCAGGGTGGCTCCAGCGGGAGCCGGGCAGGGCGGGGGGTAATGAAGGTGTCCCCAGCACAGACCCTCCTGCTCTGCCTGAGCTCCCAGATCACAATGGAGAAGTAGCAGCGCGGCACTTACCCAGCAGCTGATCACACTCCGCCCCCAGCCTAAAGCATGTGCCAGGTGCTCTGCGAAATGCAGCTTCTGTGAGCTCTGCCTCTGCGCATGCGGAGCTCTGGCCCCCCTCCCGTGCAGTGCCCGGCTAGGCAGATGGTGTCAGTGAAGCAGGGACGAGTCCCAGCCACTGCAGACAGTCCCGGCGACCGCTGCAGCCCGGGTGGGGTTTGCAGGGCACAGGAAGGGGCTGTAACAGCTGGGAGCGGTGGGTGCCGGGAGGAAGGAGGCAGGAGCCGGGAGAACAAAGAACCGAGAGCAGCAGACCCCGGGCAGCTCCTGAAAGAGAGCTGCTACCTCCGTTGTGACCTGGGAGCTGAGCAGCTGCTGTTTCCCCAGCGGGGTCTGTGCTGGGGAGAGCCCGTCATTAACCCCTCCGTGCCCGGCCGGGGGGGGGGGGGGGG